TCACTGGCCAGAACTACAGAACCAGTCCACTGACAGCAAATTCCACCAGTTCACTTCATACATTCAAAGGGTTGTCTAGCTTCTGGGAACATAACGGGAAGGTGACAGCAGTGAAGTCTCATTTCAGTGCTGGGATCAACTGTGTTTCAGAAAAACCTCCCTCTAAACCTCATACACTGCCTAACAGATGGCACATCTGTTTCTATTTCCAGCATGATCTCACTAATCACTTTTTAAGAATCTAGCATCCAGGGTTAATCAACATGAGCTGAATTACAGTAAAGGTTCCTACAGCAATGGAAAAATCCTCTGCAGCTCCCTTTCCTCAAGTTATCCTCTTGGATAGTGAGGTTCATACTCTGTCTGAATTCTGCCCAAAGCCTCATGATCCCTGAAAAGCCAGGGCCTCTCTCCAAAGAGCTTCTGCCTCTCTAGGCCTTTGTCTATTTGACAAGGTAGATCTGGCAATAATTGATTTTCTCTTTGGTAGTCAAACTAAAAGCTAAAAATGCATGATACAGGTCAACACCAAAGCCCTCACAGGAATGGAAGGGCAGATTCCCAAGGAGACTTTGTCCTCAGCCCCAAGGCCTATGAAGAGAAGCTATTATCCATTATAACCCACTGCCTACAACATAGGCTCAGAGTATAGGATGCAGATTCAAACCCCTTCTGTTTCTCATATGGAAAAGTATTTAAAACAATGTTTCCTAGAAGCAGTATCACACCCAGTGTGCCAGGCAGCACCTGAGGCATGTTGAGAGAGGGCAGAGCAAGGCAGGAGACTGGCTTAGCCTGGCCATGCATATGCTGGTCAGTACAAGCAGGCCAGGGCAGAATGGCACTGCTGAGCTCACAGGCACTGTGCCTAGAGCTTACTTCCTGAGGATAAAATTTGTCTTGGAAACAGCTATTTGTAGTGATCAAGATTTGGTTACTTAATTTCCACATAGAGGATTTTTAGCTACTATCATTGGTATCTCTATGCCTTTGTCTTCAGGACACAAATCTTTACGATCCCATCAGGTTATGCCATCTGTTGTCTTTTATGTTTTAAACACCTTCCTAGGGACAAGTACAAACACAGTAATGTTAATGTTTGTTACCAGGATATGGCAGTGGGTCTTCATGGGTGGCTTAGTTGAGAATGGCCACGAGTCACAGAATCACAGAATGGCATGAGTTGGAAGGGACCTTAAAGATCATCTAGTTCCAGACTCCCATCATGGGCATGGATGCCACCCACTAGACCAGGTTGCTCAGAGACCTGGGATGTCCTCTGAGGACAAACTACTTGGCCCTGATTTTTTCTCACCTCCATCACCATAGGCACAAGCATCAGTCACCAGAGTCCCTCAAAGCCCACTGGAGCCATAACAGGCTGTGAAAATGGCAGCCTTGGTACTTGTAGGTCAAGTGCAGCCAGTGGGGGTGACAGCCATGTGTTTGTAGGTGTGCTTCTTTTAAAGCTGATTTATTTCAACAGGACTTTTACAGTGTCCAGCTGGCAGTGGTGGCCAGCAGACATGGCAGTGTCCAGGATGAGAAGACTCTGAGGCTGGTGAGGGACTCCTGGAACTCTTTGGGGACCACCTGGGTTAACCTGCTTTGGCTGGCCCTGCTCGAGCAGAGACAATCTTGGCCTAGGCAATCTCCAGAGGTGCTTTCCAACCTCAACCATTCAGTGAGATTTATTTAAACCTCTGTCATTAAAGCACAGTTATTTTAAAGTATTCCATCAATTCTCAATTCAGTACAGGAAATGTGGCTTTCAAGGCCAACAGCACGTTGAACCTTTACCTGACTGGGAGGTCAGAGATTCAGAGGGGCTTTAACATCTTAACAAATCAGGGAAGTACAAAACATGCCATTCAGATGTACAAAATGTGCCAACAACCATATGATCCAAAGTTTCTCAAGCAAAACCATTTGCTGTCAGGACAGAGTGGAGCCAAGTCAGTGTGATTCAAGTTTTTAGAGTCAATTTTGTAAAACATCAGAAAGAGTTACTTAGTGCCACCCAGTGTTGGCAGAAAGAAAAAGGAAGGTTAAATATGGTTGCAACTGGGTGTAGCCCATTGAAACAGGAAAAAAATCCCAGCTCTTGCTTTCTGTATCAGGGGTGAGTAGTTCCACAGAAACTGTGTAGCACTGACGTCCAGGAGATAGGTGTCCCAGAGCTGAAATGAGGCTTAGCCACCTTGCTAAAAAAACCTACCGCTTTGTATATTCACTTTTCAAAGCAGGTAATAAGTTTGAGATGCGGATGGTCCCTTTTGTCACAAGACTCACTCCCCTAGTCTGACATCAATGTAAGTGAGAAAGTTGTGCTGACTTTTCTTGTTAGGTGCTCAGGAGTTTAGATGAGAAACAACTATATAAGATGTATAACTTTCCTAGAATAAATAAATACAGTTAAACATTACCTCCCCCCCCCCTTTGTCTCAGATGTTGCACATGACCTGACTTTTCCTTGAATCCTTTAAAATTATATAGGATCTCATGTATATCAGACATGAAAATACTCTCCCAGTTAGGATCTTTGGATGGCTGAATAACTGTACTTATGTTTTTGTCCTTCAAAGGACTATACAGAATCACAGAATGGTTTGGGTTGGACCTTAAAGATCATCTAGTTCCAATCTCCCTGCCATGGGCAGGGACACCTTCCACTAGACCAGGTTGCTCAGAGCCCCATCCAACCTGGCCTTGAGCACTTGAACATGTCATGATCCCATTTAACAGCTGTGGAAAGTGAGATGCTGAGTAGGCATTGTCTTCCCCATCAGATGGGAGAGCTGAGGCATGGCCAAGGGGGAGTGGAGGAGACCTGGAGCCAAAATGCCAAGTGGGAAAGCTGGGAAGGGGAAAGCAAGGCCCTGAGATACCTCAAACCCACCAGATACTGGTGGGTCAGGGCTTTCCAGGGTTGTGGCTTCACCTGTTGTGTCCATGGCAGAGAAATCCTCCTTCTACCTTTTTTAGGCTCCTTCACTGCTCTGAAGTATTCTCATTGCCCAGAGGGGAAAAAACAGACAACAGTGGTTTGAGTGATTCTCTGCCAGTTCTTTATTATTTCAGCCTCTAGAAGAAAAATGCTGAGGAGAGACTGACACAGGAGTTTATCTCAGACTGATACAACAAAAACCCAACATCAAAGGGCAGGGTGGCTGCCCTCTGAAGCCACATCACCTCCATGAGCTGCCATGCTGGTGCTCCATGTTTCTGGGTGGGAGGGCTCCCTACTGACATTTTTACTTTTTTTTTCCCCACCTATGAAGCCATCTACCAGTCACACAGCCGATCCTTTGGATTCGTGCCTGCTGACAACAAGTCTCCTTCCTCACTTACCTTTCACTGAGTGCTGGGAAACAGGCCAGGCAGTGCAGCGACACGTTATGTGCTGAAAACTCCTCTTCTGGGGCCAACACACGCGGGGTGTTTTTTTCTTTTCTTGACAGTCCTATGAGGTTCCTGGGGGACCTGGGAGCTGGGTTGGCTCTGCTGGCTCCTGTTGAAAGACCTCCATGATCATTAATTGCATCTGCGTGTCTCACTAGGGCCCTACATATCCTTGGTGCTCTCCACAGCTATGAGAATCTCAGTCCTCCTCCTACAGAGCTTATAATTTAAAACCCAAGGCAGAAAATCACTAATTCCTGTGACAACTGCTCAGCTTGTGCCTCAGGAATTCATCAAAAAGATAATTTTCCCAAAGAAGACCACAGTACACAGTGTGCACAGAAGGAGTTGGTGGAAGAAAGAGACCAGACAAATACAGCATTCTTGGGGAAAAAAAAGGTATCTGTGTGTATCCCCCCCAGTTAGAAAGGTTTACAGAGTAGGTTCACAGAGACAGTCTCTGCTCCGGAGGTTTTATAGTCCCAGCAATCAGAAAGAAATAAAAGGAACGGGAAAGGCAGAAGCAGGAGACCTGTCAGTCCCTGTGTTACACAGAACAATTCTGCTCAGTTTGCAGGTCTGAGGCATTTTTAAGCCTATAAATAAACTGGGAACGTTAATGATGCCATTAATCTTCACTGGCTGCCGTCCCAGCTATTTTCAGTGGCGAGGTTACCTTGCTTCTCCCAGCAAAAGTAGGTCTCAAGGGGAGGGTCAGGCGAGCAGTGGGGATGGATGCTTTGTGCCCAGGGCCAGGGCCAATACCCTCGGTGCTGGGACACTGCCACCATCCTTGGCAGCCCACAAGGAGGAGGTGTCCCAAGTGCCAGCACGAAACAGACGAAAACAGACATCAGATAATAAATGATGGGAAAAAGCAGAGTGCTGCTGGCTGCAGAGGAAAGCCTGCGACTGCCCCAGCCTGCAGCCCCTATAGCAAAGGTGTCTTCTCCATCTCCTGCAAGGAGGTACCCCGATGGAGACCCTCTGCTCCTCTGTAGCTGCTGGGAACCTGCTGCACCACCTCTGCCTTTCCAAGGACAGAAAGTGGTGGGGCTCAGAGCTACAGAATAGGGGGGAGCCCAGAAGGGAACAGGCCAGGGCATCCCAGCACACTAGCCCAGGGCAGGGAGTGGCTGAGGTGCAGGTCCCTGAGGAGAAGAAGGTCTGCCCTGAGACAGCTTCTTGCCCATCACTCTAATAGTCAGTGCTTCCCTCAGAGGGAGAGGGAAGACCTCCCTTTTCTTTCCACCCAAGGGGAGCAGGAATGTCATAAACCTGGACAGCAAAAGGTGCTTTTCCTCCTTTCCACAAACAACAGGGAAAAAAAAAAAAAAAGGAGGTGGATGCATGTTGGTCATCCATTCTTGCATGAAGCTGAACTGAGATGGGTCAATACAGAGGTGTCCCAGCACATCCTTATATTTGCATGTCTGGTGTGACACAAGAAAAGCTCTGTCTCTGCTTTTCACTAAGGTCTCACTGTGGAATTCTGTGAGAAGTCCCAGGACAACATCTGCCAAGGAAAAGAACAGCCCTGCACCTGACCTCAATGCTTACATTGCGCCCAGAACTGGTTTGCCTGTAGACAATACAGCTCTGAGGTTCATCTTACAAGTATACCATGCATTTGTTTATTTTATTATTTTTGGTACAATATGCCAGGAAAAAATATTATTCCTAAAAGGAAATGAAGTTCACACTTACTGGAAAAAGGCGCTTTCAAAAATCAAGTCTACACATTGCTTTCCTTTGACCTGCCCGCTCAGATATCCAAGACAGTTGGATACCACCACAGAGGGTTAGAGAAATTATTGTTCCAGTACCACCAGAAAATAACACTGGCCAGTTTTTCTTTTCTCTTCTGCAACGAGCTCAAGATGTTGAGACATTCATCAAGTAATATTACAAAAGAATTGTTCACACTCTGGTCCTAGGTGACATGTGGCTACTGTACCTATTAGGACTTACTCTCCCTAAGCATTCACTGGAATAGGATTCAGTTTTTCAATCTGCTCAGGAAGTACCTACTGTTTTTTGTTCTTTGTGTTGCTTAGTGTTGTTTCCTGAATTCTTATGTCTATAGTGGTCTGAATGCCTTTATAGTGTACCAACTAGGAAAAATTAAGAGAAATTTGGATATTTTTCTTTTCTTAACAATGATATTTTGGGGACAAAGTCAGCAACTTCTCTGTGAAAGATCCAGCCTGCTTAACCTGGATTGAAGCTCACAAACGATGCAATCTGTTCTCCCTCAGGAACTACTATAAAATGCATTTAATTTACTTGAGTTTTCCTGTTTTCCCTCAGTTACATCCACTGGACAATCTGAAAGCACTGCTGATGCTATGGCTTCCATGCTGCACCTGCTATCTACCTTCTTCTAGGGGACATGCAGGATATGATCATTGGTATAAACTGCAGGAGCATCACTCTCAGTAGGGAACTGGGGGAAGAAAAGGCCCTCAAAGGTATTCTGGGTCTGGAGAAACAACATGTCCAATAAGGAACGAACTTGAAACTGCAATCTTGCACAAGATACACAGAGATACTTCAGACAGACTTAAACATTCACCTTGACAAATTAATCAGCTTGTCAAGCAAAGGAAGTCATTGTGGTCAGAGTGGTCATGGAAGGTAACTAATACTCTCCATCTGCAGCATCAGTCAATTAAGGACTTAAAATATTACCAGAGAGGAGAACTGAGAAGTAAGAGAAGAAAACATACACACAGTAAAATACAAAGGCCAGAAAATGGAAAAGAAATGCCAGAAATATTTCATATTGACCCAAATTAATAACAACCTCAAATGAATTGGTTCAGGCTTGTTTCATATGGTAAAAATACAGGCTAAGCCAAGCGAGTGGTCTCAGGCTAGTAACACAGAAGAAATTATCTCCCTAGAGCAAAAAAGGCATCTGTTTATTTATCTCAGTTATGAAAATGTCCTTGTCAGATATTGGCTGAGCTCTCTCAGGTCACTTACCTTTTCTCAGCTTCAGAAGAGACCCCTAAACCACTATCCCTGTAAACACGATGAATCTGCACATCCTGAGCAGTTAGCCCTCTTCTCCCCAGGAGTGCTGAACTACCTGAGTGGTCTCAGAAGGCACAGACCTTCCCTATGCCTGGAAAATCCTGCTACAGAAAAATGCGACTGCTACTAGTAGTAACACTGGAAGAGATCCCTGCACTCCCCTGAAGCCTCACTTGCACAGAATCACTCTGTGGGGACAAGGTTACATTAAATGTGCCTTTCATGGCAATAGCAGGCAAAATAATTCCTCCTTGCTGACCCCACTGCTGACCCCAGAGCACGGCTCTGTTCCAGTGCTTTCTGGCACCAGAAGGGAAATACCGAGGACCAGGGTCCACAACTGATCAGTCATAAATAAAATCCAGCAAAAACTTGTTGCTGTTTAGAAGAAATCACCAAACAAAGAAAAAACCTAAGTCAGGGAGTTCCCTGCTTGGCACATCAATGATGAGGTGATGCACTGCAGCCCAGAACTTAGAGGGAGCAGCTAGAGAGTCTGGAAGGAGGAGAGAGCAGTGGGCATTGCTGCCAAAGTTTAGCCTCAAACTATGGCCAATGTTTCCACATTTCCACAAGGATGGGGAGCAGGGTAACACTGTCTCAGACAGGCAATAGGTGGATCGAGGTGGGAGAGCTGAGCCCTGCACCCAGGCTTAAGTGAATGGATACACACAAGCCCTGACTGACAGCACTTGGCGTCTCCAGGATGGCCTGAGGACTTGCACCTGATCTACACAGTTTGGGCAGCAAGAAAAATAGTGATTCATCAGATCAGTCATAAAAACCTGAAATTCTCTTTTTTTTTAATGCTGACAACTAACTCTTATATTAGCCTGGGACCATGGGTCCTGATGCCTTTCCTCAGGGATACTCAGGTATGCGTCAGTGGAAGCCCATTGTTGCCTTCTGTAGCACCAGGATGATTCTGTGCTGGCCAGGCAAGAAAACAATGTTGCTGATCTGGTTCTAGGTGAGTGCTGAACAGGACACAAGAACACTGGAAATGCCCATAGCTGCATAAAAGTGGCATTCCAGTGTGCCCTGAAGCAGCAGAGCCTCCTCCTGCTGCTGGTCTGAGCAGACTGCGTTTAGCTAGTTTGAGTTTCTCAGAGTCCTGGAGGAAACATTAGAGGGTTGTGAGATTCAGTCTCTAATTAGGTCCCTGTAGTGGTGAGATTGCTTCCTTTATAATCACTCAGTGGGAACTAGTACTTTATCCTCTGTACTCAAATTTTTATTTCTTTCACCCTCATTTTCTCCCCAATGCCTGGAATCTCCAGTCCACTGGATGACAGCTGCAAAAGCCTCTGACATTCACTTTAAGGATGATTCTTTTCAGCTGCTTCACATTTCCTTTTGACAAGCTCTTCTAGTGATATTTACTGCAACTAATGAATTAACTCACAGCTAGACCACTTGCTAGCCTTTTCAATCCAGAGCTGTTTTAAATCTTGATTAGCTGGTTTGATTTGTAAATCTCACAGGACCACTAAGTCCAAGCTGTTCTGTCTTACTCTGCATTAAGGAGACAGTTCCCAGTTATGCAGAACAGCAGTACATTCAGGGGGACTCCACCTCTCCAGCAGGTAGAAAAACAATGTATTATCCAGAGGAAGCAGTTCAGTTCACAGGGAAAGTTATTTAGATAACTGGAAAAGAAAAAGTCTTGCTAATTTAAGCGTCTGTGAAAAACGATGCAATGCAACATTTCACAAGCATCTTGCACAAGTGATATTACACAAATGCACCTTTCTCCATATTTTTGCAGATCCTCTTTTCTGTTTCTATCTTCTGAGCACATCCCTAGTAGTCCAGCATTTCAAATTAGGATCTTTATTTGAGTTTCAACATGAAATTAGTCTAATTTGTATATATTCTGCCCTCTCAAGTCCAAAGCTTCTTATAGGGGTCAGCAGGTGTTCGGCTCTTGTGGCTGTCAGGTCATTTGCATTTTGGTAACCAACTGTGGGTTTAGGCACCTGATTTTCAGCGATTTGACTCCCAATTCTAAAAATTTGTCCTGGAGGTAAGCATCAAACTGGAATTTGCAGCCCAGAGCACTGGAGCATGCTAGTTATGTAGTTGCCTAAGTTCAGGCTGAAAAGTGAATGCACATGGAGGCTCTTCACTTGTCTGAAGACTTACAGCAAAACAGGAAGTTATTAATATAAGAGCCCGAACTGACTTGAGAGTCAAACAATATCAAACAAAAGGTGTCACCCCCTTTTCCTGTTTATCTCTTGCTAGTTTAGAAGAAGGGGAGATAAATAGTCAAAGAGTTTCTCAATTTGGTGCAACAAGGCAGTTGAAATCAAACTGGCAGACTCTACATCATCACAGTAAATATATGGCGTCTCTCTCTTCAAGACCTTAAAGATTTTGCTGTACTTTTAACAAAAAGGCAACTTATTTTGAAATGACGGGGTGTAGCAGGACAAAAGAAAGCAGTGCAATAGCATTCAAGAGTTTAGACAAAGTGAGCAATAAATGAAACTACAGGGGAGGGTAATCGGCTGGTTTGATATAATTATCTCAGGAAAACACTGGAACTAAAGAACTTCCTCCTCAGAAAGTGTCTTTCAAATTCAAAGTGATTTTCAAATAACACAGGTCATTAGGACTACAATTCCATGTTGTGTCTACATGATGGTTTATCAAAACAGGATCAAATTACTGCTAGGGTCCTGGGAGGAAGCTCTAGGGTAAAGAAAAATACTGTGCAGGCTGGCTTACCACAACACAGTGTAGAAATGAGCAAAACTTGCTGGACTCATGGCCCAGCCTCATCACATCAACACAGCAAAGCCCAGACTGCACTTAGCCCTCCGTTTTCACTGCTGGTGAATATAATATTTTCTTTCCAATAAGGACAATTTTAAAAATTATCTTTTCTAAAAGGGAACTGGACACAGCCCCTCCTTGAAAGATGAGATTGACCAGGAAACCCTGCACTGAGAACATTTAGCATTGGGGAAAGTGGAGTGCTGACCTGTTGGGATGTGGGGTCATTGGGTGCCTGAGCTCTTACGTGTTTCGTAAGCCACTGTAGAGGTAACAGAACCTGTGAGCTGCCTTCCTGACCTCCATATTCTCAGAGGATTTCTCAAAAGACTCATGTTGGGCCCAGAAAAGCTTGTACTGAACAGACAAAAGGCAAACTCCAAGAATATTTATTTGTTTTGACTTAAAATTGGGTAGGTGATACTTCCCTGAGTTACTTGGGTTTTCTTTAAAAAACTAAACACAAAACACTATCAGTAGGTGTCAGTTCCCTTGGAAAGGTTTCCTTTGTCTTGAAGGAACAAGAGGACTAATGTGAGGACTAATTTGCTGGGTTCTTTCACTCTTTCAGAGTTATCTGGAGGTTTGGGCCTCTTTCTTTTTTCCCATACGGTCTTGCTGAGCCACTCATAGCCATACAAAATAAATTTCTAGAAGGTGATCACTCTCACAGAACCCTATGGCTCTCAATTTACACTAGAAAAACACTCTTTGTACTGCAGAAGATTAAAAAAATGGAGGTGAATCTTCTTTTCTGCCCTTGATAAGATTTTAGCTGCAAATGCAAGCAAGAGGTACACCGTTTTCTTTCCACACAGGATGTAGATGGAGATGTCAGACAAAAACAACACAAATTTCCTTGCTACCTAAAGGAGATCTGCTGTACATATCTTGCAGGCACCACCATCTCTGACAAGATTTGTTACCTACACCATTGATGCACGAATCCTCAACGGAAGGCCCAGCAGTTGGCTGTGCCCCAGACTGGCCTCTTTTCTCCACTCAGGTCACTTTAGGGGGTGCTGAGTAAAGAGGGGTAATAGCAAGCAGCTGCCAGGCTCCCAAACGGATACTTTTATGATCGTGGCTACAGTCCTTACTAGACTCTTTCATTGTCCCAAGCTTCACTCCTACAAGGGAAGGAAAAGACTGTTAACAAGAGGGCACAGGACCATGGGATGACAACACGGATGACCCTACCAGCTGGCAGATGCTGTTGCATGTTACAGCTGAGCCAGTGTCACAGTTTCTTGCCGTAGATGTGGTCAGCTCCTTACTGGCTCTGGTCCTGTGTTCCCACTCCTGCCTTTGCTGACTCCTACCCCCTACAGTGAAATGCTGTTTCACAGATCTAAACCAAAGAAATCAAACTAAATGAAGTAAATCTCGTGAGTCCCAGGCTAGATTCTCAGCTGCTAGACCTTTCTTACAAATTGGGAAAGGGAAAAAAATAAGGAGAAGGCAGAGACAGGACCTTTAAAGGCTTGGATTCACAGTGATCCCATACTCTTGGCCCTGCCCCTCCTTCTCTCCCCAGCTATCCCTCCAGCAAGCTCCAGTTTCAGACCACAGTGCTTCTCACAAGCCTAGCCCATGAAGGAGGATCCAAGCTGCTCACCAACTCCTTGCTTAGAACACGTTGGCCTATTCTGTAACCAGCAAGCACAGCACAGATGGAATTAATAACCTCTCACCTCAGCGTCACCTGGGTGCTGAGCAGGAGGCAGGAGCTGGGAAGCAGGATCTGTAAATCCTGAGATTTACCTGCCCGCATAGTCCTAGCAGGTGTCCCAGTGATGGGTGATTCTCAGCTGAGATGAGGAGGAGGAGGCAAGGGGGAAGGACAGTTTCAGATGAAGTGGAACTAGGCATGACAAGAGAGTGGTTACTAGCAAAAGAAAATGAATTATATAAATAAACCTTTGTCTGTCAGGTTTTCTGTTGGATTCTGCCCGAGACAGAAGCTGTTTAAGCCTCCCCATAACCCTGCAAGTGGCATGGAGCATCATGGGATATCTCGCTGTTTTTGACACTGAATTGAGTTTTTGACTCAGAGTCAAGCAATTTCATGTCACTTGTATCTGCTTTCTGAAGCTTTTCAACCCCTATGAGCAGCTGACAGAAGGAATACAGTGTGTAAGAGCCAGTCATGCACATGGCTCAGGTTTTACAGTTTTGCTCACTCTGAGATTTTTCGTATCAGGGCAATTATTTGGGTTGCAGATGATAGCTCTTGAGGGCAACGAGAATCTGAATAGTGAGCCTGATCTTATGCTAGCGAGCCTAAAAGATCTGTACGCAGCAGAAGCTGCTTTATAGGAATGAAGCTCTGCAAATTCATTTATGCAAACTGATGTCCAAAGTGCTGCTGGAAGAGTTTATGCAATAGATATGTGACTATGTGTTCATGTTCCAGTGCTAACTATTCCTATGTGCATCCTCTCTCCCTGCCCTTCAAGGCTTTGCTCTGAATACAGGGATACATAATATTCCTGAGGAGTCTTGGGAGAGAATGCAGAGGGTCAAGATTTGCTTCAAAGCAGATCTTCAAACATCTGTTTGTACTTACGGCATGAATATTCAGCACAGTACAGCACATAGCTGCCTGTAGCTTCAAGGCAAACACAAATGCTAAGAGGTATTAAACACTCATAAACAAGATATCCTGGAGCAGCTTATCATTTAGGTGGTAATGGGTGGGGAAAGGCTCGCTGTATATATAAGGCCTAGTTGTTCTCCCACTGAATTTTGCCATGTCAGTAATGGGACAGGGAGAGGAAAGCTCTCGTGTGTTTTAGCCTGGAAATATTGCTTAGGTCAGTCAGTCCTGACTTGCTCCTGTGGTGGCTCCTGCTTGCTGTTGCACCAGGGTGTAAGGGCAGCCTCGGGCCAGCCACCCTCTGACTCAGGAGAGGAAAGAGACAAGGGCCAATGCCAGCTCCATTTCTGACAGCTGGGCCACCACTACGGCAGGTTACTCCCATGGCGGAATGGAGATTATCCCAAAGGGTAAGAGGTAACATGCCTGGCAGCAGAGGCCTTGCTAGCTGGCCATATAGGAGCATCTGGGGGAGACTCTGCCCTCAGATTATTGTTTGGTTGGAAAACAAATGAGCAGATGAAGACATTACCACCTGCTGTTGCTTGACACCACTCTACCACCAAAGGCTAGAGTGGAGCTGAGACACAAGGGTGCTTTTACTATTATCCGAGAGAGAAGTATCGTGCTTTTACTATTATCCGAGAGAGAAGTATCATGATTAATCTGTTAGAAGTTAGTGGTGTTTTAGTCCCCTCCATATCTTCTAGGTGAATCATTTGGCTGGCTTGGTCTCTATATCACCTGTTAGGATCAGATGACTGCCAGTTCTGGTGCAAAGAGGGGACAGAAACACAGGGCAAAAGCTGTAAGGACATGAGGCACTGAAGCGGTGCTGGTTTTGGTAGGCATAAATCACTATAGAACACATCTGAATATCTCTAGTTCACAGTCTTCTGTCTAGTCTAATCCCACATCTTTGGAGATTTCAACTCAAATGTCATTTGGAGCAGCTCTACCCTGGACATACGTTGTCTTCTGCCAATTCTGCTGCAGGGACTGTAATGTTCACCAGCAGAGCAGTATAAACAGCTGGGTGGGTCACCTCTTCTGTCACCTCGCCATCATTTGCCAGAGCTTATTTGTCAGAGGCCTAAATCACAACACAAACACTAGAAATCAGCCCAAAATGGATATGGCTAGACCACAAGACCTGAAAATTCTCTGAAAATGTGCAGTCTAGCTCAATAAATAGTGCCTTCCCTGGAATAGATAATTTGGGTTCTCCAAGCAAAACAGTGTCAAAAAGAAAAGCAAATCACACCAATATTTTTGACAGTATGGAGACATCCTTGTATATTACAAGGTACTTAGTACCCAGACAGAAGCTTCCAGTGTAGATCCACATTCACTTCTGCATTTCTGGAGGTGAAGAGGGGTTTTCAGTCATGTTGAGCTAATGCAACTGAGCCAACAGGAATTAAAGCTCTGCCCTTTTCTGCCTGTTGAGACATGGTGAAAGAAAGCAGCTACCTTAAATCAAAGGGTCCAGATTCAGGGAGGTACTCCAGCTAGAAATCAGAAGGCAGTTTACAGATACTTTGATAACTTGAGCTTTTATCATTCCACAGGCCCCCAAGATCAGTTGGTGAGGCCTGAGTAAGTTTCCTCATATGGTATTTGAAGGCAAAGACAATCTTCATTTGCTTCCCACAGGCAAGCTCAGGCAGCTACAGCGTGTTGTAAAAAGAGGAGATTAAATGCAAGTTTTGCAGCACAACTGCCTGAAAAGATACAATCACATCTATCATTAGGAGCTTAGGAGTTAGGATTTTAAATCTGATGTAGGCACCTTTGAAGCACCAGTTTTGTCAAGAATATCCCATGCTTTGTCCTATCTTGAAAACTGAATTGTTTAGCTATTAAAAGAGATTAATGTAATCTCTGTGTCTATGAAATTGGATTTTGAAACTGCTTGCTTACTGTACTATCTCCAGTGCAGTGAATGAAATCTCTGCTGCTATTCATGTTGCTATGAATTACGGGTCATACCTTGTTTGAGCCCAGCATGTGCTGGCATCGCCAACAGGACAAAGTGCCTGGCAGGCTGCAGGAGGAGGCTCAAAGCTGGCAGGGAGAGAGAAGCTGCTGTTCTCCAGAGGCCACCAGCAACATACCATGTTGCTTTGGACTCTTCAGTGTGAGCAGGCCCAGTAAGAGGTGTATTCAGATGGCTGGGGCAGAGTGTACACAGCAGGAGTGGAGCTTGGGGGAGCTGAGTGGGTTTAGTCCATAGGCAGGGGGATGGAGGGTAATCTAACAGCATCCTATTGCAAATCATACCTCCCTCAGTGTGGGACTGACAGAGCCCAATCCCTACTGCAAGCAAAGAATGGACAAATGAGGGACAACCAGTCCAGGCTGGAGCTTGGGAGAGGAGAATGGACATCAGGGAAAATATCTCCCGAGACGGACACTCTCCACTCTCCATACTTGGAGGCTTTGAAGACTTGGCTAGACAATGCCAAAGCTGATCTTATGTAGCGTGATAATCCCGTGCTAAGAAGGAGCCTGGCTGACCTTGGGCCTTCCGAGGACCCTTTCAACTAACATTTCTGTGTGTCTGTGCTTTTCCTAGTGGAGCAAATGAACACTGTTCAGCTCCATGGACATGTGTCTTTTTGCACTAGCTAAGGAAGTGGTTCTGCAGTCTTCCTTCTGAGACACTAACAGTAAAGGTTAAGAAATCCTAGCCCCTCTCCTCCATGTTGCCTCCTCCTCCCACAGCCAGCATGTTGTGCTCTCCTCCAGCTCATGCTTTGCCGCAGAAACATGACTTGCAGTCCTGTGTACATGGTCTTGCCATGAATGTTGACAGTCCAGCTGCTTCACTCAGATTTAAATGGCTGAAGGAGCGATATCCCAGGGCAGGAGGCAATTGCTGCTGGGATTCCTGCTTGTTGTCAGCTAACCCAGACCATGCTTCCTTGCAGCAGGTTCTGTTCCCTTGACAATCCTGGCGATAGTCCTTTATTTTTGCTTCCACCCATGCACACCACAGACACTTCAGCAGGCTCCTTTTCTGCTAACAGAGGGACCATGAAGCATTCTCCAGCCACCTGAAGCAATTTCTCTCTCTGGCCAGAGATCGGCAACTTCATGCCCCAAACTCTGTAATGTTTGCTGATCCTTTGCATCTCTGGATGTCCCCTGCCAAGTTCCCCTCTTTTGCTGAGTTTTCACTCACTCATTATGGCAGCAATGGCAAGACAAGCTTCTAACAAGGCATCTCTCTGCACTGCTGCAGCCCTACAGTGCTGCCCTGGGTAGCGGGTAAAAGTAAAAACATAGTTTTTTAAATGGCTATTCTTCCCTTTTTGCATCAGCTGAAAATCTATCTTGTTTTCTGTCTTTCCCAGAAGTAACCTTGACTGCAGTGGCTTGAAAAGTGCCCTGGCAGTAGCAAGGTTCTTATTAATGACTGATTGCTGCAGGGCAATGGATGATTTGGTGCTCTGATATAGGAAGAATGGCAGAAGAGAAAGAAGTCAAATGAGTGGGTGCCTGTAAGTTGTTATGCTTCTTCTGATGCACCTGGCAGAGACTGAAGAAATGGCTATACGATGAATGGAAGTGCTTGTGCAATATGGGGAGTCCCACAATCCAAAACACCACAGGCACAGACACAGTGTCACCTCCAGCACTGCTGCCCAACACTGATGGAAGGGAAAAAGAACCAGCATCTGTGTTCTCTGCTCTCAGACCGGAAAAAAAATCTTTTGTATTTTGATTTCTTTTGGACTTTGTAAACAGTTTTAGAGATTGTTTATATACAACTTGTTTTGTCCAGTTGGATACTTGTTCTGTCTGTTCTCTCCAGCTGTAAGCACCTCCTCACTAATTGCTGTTTTTTTGACCAAAAGCTTTACTCTTGCCTTCTGAATTCCATAATGAATTGACAGCACACACATAAAAAGCCCCAGTAATGTCCTCAATGTCTCCCATGGCTCTGAGATGCCCTCAAGGCCAGATCCAAACCTCAAAGTGAAGACATGGCACAAAAGTGCTGCCTGACTCAGAGTTCTCTCCACCCAAAAGCATGCCGGCAGCCGGGTGCCTGTGCTAGCCTTTTCACCCCAAACTATATTCAGCCCACGATGACTTGTTCCAGGCAGCTCCGTTTGCTCTCCTCACCTGGCAGACAGCAGCCCCACAACCTTTGCTCACTGTCCCAGGTACCCTGACAGGGCCAGTCATTTCTGGGGAGCTGTGCAGCAGCAGTATTGTGGTAGTGTCATGGGTTCAAGTGGCTAAATTTTTGGTAATAGGGGGTCATAGAGATGATTTCAGTTAGAAACTACTAGAAGCTTTTGCTGTTCTATGAAAAACCCAGTGACAGTCAGCTCCAGGATGGACTTCCTACTACTAGCCAATGGTATGTGCTTCTGTGATAACATATTTAAGAATACAGGAAGAGAAAGCTCGTGTTGCAGAAGAAATTCCAGCTGGAGAGAAGAGCAGAGAAGAACATGAGATAGCTCCGATGTAGACTCCAAGGTCAGTGTAGCAGGAGGGGGGAAGAGAGGCCTGGGGGCCCCCCTCTCCCCCTCCAGCAGGGGAGAGACTTAGAACTGAAACCCCTGCCGCCTGTGGAAGATTATTGGGGTGAGGAGACCCCTCCCTCTGCAGCTCATGGAGGAGTCTACATTGGAGCAGAGGAGGAAGGAGAGGGGAAAAGCAGCTTTCAGTGAATGTTTGAAATCCAGACAGGGTCCAACCACGACAGGTAGCTATGATGATCCTAATTAAGACTGAATCAAGACAAAAGGGAAAGCAAAGATGGCATCATGGAAAAATATACACAGAGCAGCTACATTTCCCTCAGAGCTGCACTAGCACCAAACACTGCTTCTTGCTGGAATGTGCTGCTATGAGAAAGCCCACCTGCATGAAGCACATTTTCAGCTGTCAGGGATACTGTCACAAGGTCTGGGAGGAGCTGCTACACATACTGGACTGTAAGCAATGCTTTGGAGCTAGAGGAGTACCAGCAAGTGCTGGGAACTGACAACATTTTATATGCCCATACAGCTTTACGTGGTCTCACTGGTATCTGAATGTTTGCTACTGCTTACAAGACAACTAAGTTCTGACCTACCTACAGAAAGGCTCTTGGGTATTGTTTTTTAAAGGCATGTGGATAGGTCAGAATGGAATCATAGAATCATTTATGTTGGAAAAGAGTTATAAGATCTTCAAGACCAACCATTAATCCAACACTGCCAAGTCCACCACTAAACCATGTCTCTCAGTGCCACATCCATACATCATTTACATATTTCCAGGGATGGTGACTCAACCACTTCCCTGGTCAGCCTGTTCCAGTGCTTGACAACTGTTTCACTGAAGAAGTATTTCCTAATATCCATTGCAAAGATTCCTTTCCCACTCTGAGACAGGTGCTCAGTGTTCTGTCTGTCACCAGCAGCAATGCTGTCATGTAAACCAACTCACAATCAAAAATGCCAACATTTCGTGGTTTACACCAGGCTCAGAGCCAGGTATTGATCTGCTGGCTCTTTCTGTTTCTTCCCCATCATTCCCTGCAATTGGAATGATAAGGGAGAACAATACCTGTGCTCCTGACCCCTTAAGCAACCATCCTGAAGCCCTGAAGTGTCTCCTGGTTGCCCTTGGGCCTCATGGTACAACTTCATTGATGCCTATCTGAAAAACCAATAATGGATAATAATCTGAGGGCTCTATGAGGCTACTTAGGAAAAAGCCCAAGTGACTGCTACACTTTACATTTGGTTCTACCTTTTCCTCATGCCATGATCCTGCCCGTATCCATCCAACTTTTTCTTACAGTGAACAGCCTTGGAGCATGTGTGTCTTGTTCCTCACTGAGAGTCCAATGTAGCATGATCTTGCTTATGAGCACAGGCTTTTAGGGACCGTAACAGTGACATTAACAAAGTTAGCAGAATCTCTGTGACAAAATGCCTGGTTATATTATTAAAAAAATCCACATATCTATAGAATTATTAGTTAATGCCACTCTGCCTTTGGCTAGTGAAGCATAACTAGGTTATAAAGACAGATTTGTATTGATAAGGCTTCTAGATTGAAGAATTATGCTTACCATCAGCGATGTGTTGTTAAAAGTATGAACTGAAAAACTCACTAGTCACCAACTCTTAATATTGCCTGAGCACCAGAAAACACGAAAAAGAAAAGTCCTTGACTCTGGCCCAGTAGGGCTGCCACTTAGATATTTCTGAAATTGAATTGAGCAAATGTCATTCCTAATACAAACCATCTTGCAGTGAGCATGCTTTTGAGTGCTCAAAGCAAAGCAGAAAGGAACAGAACCTTAAGAGTTAGAAATTGTTCCCATATTAGGTACTATTTCCACAATGAGCTGCATTCCTAGTTTATCCATTTTCATTATGCCAATTTATTGGATTTATGTGCTAGAGATGTGTGTTTGATTAAAACCTCATTTTTGTAGGTGCTACATGAACAAGTCATAAGACAGTTCCTGCTCCTGCAGACTCCAACATAGTGCCACGATGACCTGGAAGCAGAGGATAAAGGACATGGCCAATAGGGAGAATCTGCAAATTGATGTGTCCAGCAAAAAAGCACATTCTTCAGAGTAGGTGAAACCTTGCTTTTAGGAGAAAAATTGCATGGCACAAAAATGCACACAGGCTATATAGACATCTCATTTATATTTAAGGGTAGGTGTAGTGCTTGTAAAATGAGACAGATTAAAAGCCTGAGGAATTTCAGTCCCCTCCATCTAGGGAACAAGCGTACCAGGTGGCCGTGTTCCTTCACAGCGACCTGCCAATCCTAAATTTAAATGGATCTAGGAAGGAGAGGACAGTTCAGCCTCTATACCCATTGCATCTTGCCCTGTCTGTTCTCACTGCCAGCACCAGCAGCATCTTCACCACTGCAATCTTCCTATTCTCAGAAAAAGGAGCTAAAAGAACTAACACTTGTGCACCTCAGATGAGACAATAAATGCCCCACTGTCTGCAGTGATTTATAACAGCAACTTTTGTTTTCCAAAGAGATTTTGGCATGGAAGAGCCTGAATGTGATTGTAAATGTGTGGACATCTCAAGTAAATGACTATTTGAAAACAGGGCTCAACTATGTAGCTAGAAAGCCATGAAGGACTTCATGATGTACCTACACTGCACCAAGTGAAGGTGCTGCACAGCCCAAGGCGCCCCCAGGGTTAGGATTAGCACAGCCACGTTGGCCAAAGCCTGGCTGAACAAGCTTTGCTCTTTTACTGCCATGTAACTGGAGATATACTCGCCTTCCTACCCTCACTAGCACCTCTGCCTGGCACTGCACAGCAGCACGTGGTGGTACCAGCTGGAAACAGCTGCTGCAGGGCTGTGGTGGGGACACATCTGCAAACACTTACACCCCCCTCTATGTGGGTCTCTCCTTAATTCTCAGAGATGGCCTGAGGATCTGTTTTCTAGGAGCTGGTAGGACCCTGGGGCGCAGATGGGACACCCAAAGTAGCTTTAAATCCAGCGAGGGGGGAAGACAGATGAGAGCAAGTAGTGGTGAGACCAGACACTGGAATCTGAAGGTATAGGCAACAGATTATAAACAAAGAGACTTGTTTAAGTGTCTTGGTAATGTGGCAGTGAGAAACCTTGTTATTACTGCTTCAAAAAGAGTGCATATATAACATGGCATTGTGAAATCTTGAAATCTTTGTACACAAATACAGTTAGGAAAAGAAAAAAGAAAAACTTAGCCCTATTTCTGAATACACCATCTTCTTCTGAAAATAATGTTGACACAGCTAGAACAGGCCTCCTATATTCAACTCTCATGCACATGACCTCATTCCTATGGCTTAATAATCATAATGAAATATGAGGGGAAGGTAAATAGTCTTCATTCCACATCTCCGAGGATAATAGTAAGAAGGAAGAGATTTCAAATGTTGTTAATGACTTGTAGAGCCGCACATTGCTTAAAACATTGACCACAAGCCAAGAAATACCCCTCAAGGCTGCAATCAAAAACAGTTTTTGGCTCTGCGCTGTGAACAGAAACTTTATTTGATCAACAGAGTTATTGCAACAGACTTGCTGTTGAGAGTCTGGAAGCTTGTCTCTAATGTGGCACCTCTCACTGCAGCCAAAGCCTCCTGCATGGTAAAGCTCTGGGCTCATGAAATGCAGCTCTTGCTCACAGCTTCAGGTTAATCGTGATGACCACTGAGGAGAGCTTTGATGCTTCGCCCTTGGCTACCAGAGAAGTCTGTGTAACTTTTCATGGGGAAATAAGAGAGATCTGAGACTGGTAAAAAAACTCCTCTGTTTTTGTGAGCGGATTTTGAGTTGGGAGAATGAAATCAGCTGAACTGTTTTTTGTGAAGAGGTTCAGCTTTCTGCTTTCAGCAGCTGTACAAGTACAGGGGCAATCCCTGGCCTATAAGCCTTGACAGGCTAAGAAGAAAACAGATGTGTATGAGGCCCCTGGCCAGAAAAGCACCAACCTGCCAGAGAATACTGGCAGAGAGAAAAGGAAGGAACTGAAAATTATTTTTTAACAGAGTTTCTCACAAAAACGACAGACCTTCCCAAAATATTTTGGATTTTTTTTTTTAATGTGAAAAGTAGACATTTAAGTTGAAATTTGGAAAACTGAAGGTCTATTATTTCTATAAATATCTACCATCAGGAATGTGTTTTCCTCAAAAAAGAGTTTTGAGAAGTGGTTAAGAGAAGTTGTTAAGAGCAGAAAGTAATTTTCAACAAGAAACAACAAGTTATACTGATTCCAGAAAACCAAATGATACTGACTGCTCCTGAATACCACACACCAAACTCTATCAAACTAATTGCTTAGGGATGTATGGATATTTGGCATCTCCATGCCGGTGGTCTGAAGATCTGGCAGAAGAGAACCTTCCCCAACCATGGGAATGAAATTTAAAAAAAATAAAAAAATAATAATAAAAAAAAAAATAAAAAGAATAAAAACCAGCTCCTGTTCAGCAAAAAGAAACCAATGGGGCACAGAGAATTCTATGTCAGACACAAGAGCTCTAATGCAAACCAGACATGAGCTGCCTGAGATCCTTGGGAGAGAATAAGGAATTTCAGACTAATGTGCCATAGGAGAGAGCCCTAGAGCCCAGACAAGCAACTGGGTGCTCACAGAGGTCATGAGAAAAAGGGCGAGAATACAGAAAAACTGGACAAAGTGAAAATAGATGTATTTTGGGTGTGTGAGGTATGCTGACTAGCAACCCAACACTGGAACAGGTTGCCCAGAGAAGTGGATGTCCCATCACCGGAAATGTTAAGAGTCAGGTTGGGTGATCCAGTGACAGATGTCCCTGCCTACCGCAGAGTGGGTGGACTGGATGATCTTTGAAGATCTCTTCCAACCCAAAGAAAATTATTATTCTATGATTTCCTACTTCAGCACTAAAGTAAGAAGCCTAAAATTTGCTGGTTCTGACAGTCTGAAAAACCATTAAAAGCAATGTGCCTTTTCCAAGTACCGTCTATGGTGTGTTTTTTTTCAAACAGAAAAACACTAACATCACCTCTCCCCTCCCCACCTTGTCCCCTGATCCCTTTCCCCGAAATGGGGCAAAACAAGGAGTTTGCAATAAGTTTCAAAGTCTGTGACTTTCTTATTCCAATCCAGCTAGTATGAAAAGAGGGCATAATAAATTTTTATGTTAAAATATTTACCTTTCTAACAAGAGGGAAGATGGAGTGGCAAAGTACAGAAGAGGGGAAACACTGGGAAAGAGGAAAAGCATGTGTCCAATGTTGCCTCTAGGCTTTATGTTTGACAGAAACAAAACAAACCACCTAGAGGAAAACAGAATGCTTATTTCCAGAGAGAAATACACAGCTTAATATCCCAGCTAAAGCCAGGTGGAAAGTACAGCAACTCTGTGTATCCTTGTCATATGGCCAAGGTGAGCTTTTGCTTTTTGCAGAATGGCCTTGGATAGGCAGAGAGACTTTTTCTGTATGTGGGAGATTATGCGACTGTTACACTCGATCCCTACTTCAAAAACCACATAGTGTTTCCATAGCATGGTGATGGTTGCAGGTAGAGGCATCAACAGCAAGTTAACACCAGTGAGCTCTAGAGAAAGAGGGCAGGGGACACCCCAGGCTGCTGGGAGCAGTTAAAGCCCCTAAGAAAGGTTGGTAGGCACTACTGTGAACAAAAATCTCATTTTTAATTAAAAGTAAATCCCAGGAAGAGTGTGTTGCATCAGTTGGCAGCACACACAGATTTGGGGCACACTGGGGAGTTCTTCAGTGTTGACACTGTATCTTTTGTCTCCTGCCTCAGTAAGCCATAGAGGTGTTCAGATGCAATCCTGTCAATGTGCTCTAGGATCACCCTGCTTGAGCAGGGAGGTTGGAACACATGATCCACTGTAGACCCTTCCAACCTGATCCATTCTGTGATTCTGTGTTACTTGGGAATTAAAACTGAGGTAGACACAGCACTTCAAACCCCCTGTGCTTCCTCAACAGGGTGCTGAGGACCAACAGTTTAGCGCTGTTCCCATTCATGCCTCTGTGTAACCATGGACCTGTGGCTGGACTCCAGGTTTGTAAATACTTCACCTGAGATCAGGTGCTGGCCTGGTCCCCAGCCAACTCTAGCAGTAGAGGACTGTGAAGGTATCTCAAAAGTTT